ATATTCTTACACCCCCCCCCCCCCCCCCCCAAAAAAAAAATAAAAGAAAAAGAAAAAAGAAAGAAAGAATAGAAAAAGAAACTAATGACATCAACAGTTTGCGTGCTGGTTGTCATGGCCGAATCAGATTTACATCATATACTGAACTGGGCTATTGGCCTATCCCATTTTGGGCAAAGCAGGGACTATAAATTTTGGAAAATATACTCTAATTAGGTCAATGTTCTTGTCTTGGTATTTACAAAATATTTTTAATACGTATTTATAGAATATTTTCCTTAAAAATAAAAAATAAAAGTAAATAGAAAATGTAAAGATTTTTAAGCCCCGTTCACTTTGCTGATTCGAGTTTTTCTACAGTAAAAAACTATCACAAATAATCACATATAATTTTTTTATTATAATAAAAAACTCTCACATAAAATTACATCTCAATTTGAATCAGTGAAATGAACGATACCTTAATTTTATTAGACAATGTGTGTCTCCATTCATCTCACCAAATAATAATAATGATGACACGACGACTTTAAATTACTATCACCATCATATATCATCATCATCACCACTGTTATTTTGACATCCGTTGTATGAATTGGTTATGTAAGGCATTCAAACCTAATTTCAGCCTTTGGTTTTACATTATCGCCAACATGAGTAGAGAAGTAACATGCATTTTATGCACGTGAGATTGAATCATTATAGACTTCAACGGGAAATGACAATTAGCACCAAATACGTACGAAGGGAGGAGATCATTGACGTACAAAAGTAGACCAAACAACACGTTAAAAGGAAAAAAATTTGACAAGAACTTGTTTTGTTTTTTTTTTTTTTTTTAATAATATTAATCTCCCACTTCTTTGACCAGCTTTGGCGTCAATTGACTTTCAACTAAGAAATTGAGGCGGCTCCCCAACCATATATTCGAGAATAAAAAATACAAAATCCAATTTTTTGCTTCATTTAATTGTCTAAATTGTACAGCCTTAACTATATCTGCTCAATTCAAACATGGGTTTTGGTTGATTCCACCATATTCTATTAACAAAGATTTACGAAAAAAAAAAAAAGAAAAATCCTTGGATATCTCCCAAGTCTATATATAAGGCTCTACACACACTTTCCTCACTGAAAATCTTTTCAATAAATTGCAAACAAAAGAAAAAACAAAAACAAAAAAACAAAACATAGACAGCACACAAAAGCAGTTAACCATGCCCTCTATCTTCACCATTCTTGGTTCAATACTCTTGGCGGTGTTGTTGTTCTGTCTGTTTAACCAGCTGCGAAGCAGGCGATCGGTACCCGGCCGCCGGCTGCCTCCAGGCCCGCGACCGTGGCCCATAATCGGAAACCTGCCCCAGCTGGGCCCGGCGCCGCACCAGACCATCGCGGCCCTGGCCCGGAAGCATGGCCCGCTGATGCACCTCCGCTTTGGGTTGGTTGACGTGGTGGCAGCGGCGTCGGCCTCCGTGGCAGCCCAGTTCCTTAAGGCCCACGACACCAACTTCTTGAGCCGTCCGCCCAGCTCCGCCGCCAAACACGTTGGGTACAACTATCATGACTTGGTCCTAGCGCCGTACGGCCCAAGGTGGCGGTTGATGCGGAAGATCGCGTCCGTACACCTCTTATCCGGGAAGGCTTTGGAGGATTTCAGATATGTCCGACAGGTAAGTCAGATAAAATTTAAACTGTAGTTACAATTTTATTTAAATTTATTTTGAGTTTAAACTTAAATTTAAATTTAAATTTAAATTTAAATTTAAGATTAAACTCGAGTTTAAATTTCTTTTTTAACTCGAGTTCATAAACTCGAATTTAAGTTAATGAATAATATTTTTTCTATTATTAAAAATATCATAATTTTTTCGTTTAAATTCTGATTGAGATTATTTTTTTCTATACATTCACAACGAAAAGACGAATAAAATTCTACTTATATATCATATTAAAATTTTTTATCATTATTGAGTTTTTATTAAAATATTATCTAAATATAAATTTAAATTTTGACTCACTCAAACACAAACTCAAAAAGATTCTCAATTCAAATCATAACTCAAATATGTACATCTAAACACAAACTCAAATTACAACTTTAACTCAAAGTATAACTCAAACTCAACTCAAAAGTGTAAAAGAACAACCTCTAAATTTTTTTTCTCCTTAAAAAGAAATTAAAGAAAATACTCACACACACGTATATATAAGTCTCGTTCATTTTATTGATTCGAGTTTAGAATTTAAGTTTTGTTACAGTAAAAAACTCTCAAAAACAGTCACATCTAATTTTTTTATTACAATAAAAATTTCTCACATAAAATCACATCTCAACTCAAATTAAAAATTTAAATCAGCGAATTAAACGGGCATTAGTTGCTCGTCGTCATTTTCCTTTACGCTACAAAAGTTTTCTCACAATATTATATGTTGGCATCTATGCAACGTAATACGATACACTGATTGAATAATCCGTGCATGGGATAGACATTTTTTTTTAATGAATGAACAAATCCTTTTTTTTAATGGGGTAGGATTTGAACCTTAATCTTTGTGTTGGAGTTACCTGTAAAATTATCTGTAAAGTTACCTGTGAGAAAGAATGATTGTTGTTATTCTTTTCTGTGGTTTGGTATTAAAATGAAAAGGAGAGGAAATGACTTGCTTTGCACTTGCGGTTGCACTTGCGGTGGTGTTTGCAGTTGCTGTGACGTTTACAGTATAGAAACAGATACGAAAAGGTCCATTATATATATATATATATATATATAAAAGAAACGTAAAACAAAAGGTAGAAAAAATAATTAAAAAAAAAGCTTAAAATATTTTACATGAATAAAAAGAGAGAGAAAACAACGGTAAAGTTGTAATTTTATTGTCTTGGTGTCCTCCCTTCCTTACTGTGCATAGTATTTTTTGGTGGGGCCCATAAGAAGGCAGCCCCTTCATTTTTTCTATTCCCTAGCATAATCGGCAAACAAACTTTCCGTCAAACCCTTTTCCTTCTTTTTTCAAACCCTTCCTCCCAAACACACCCTAAAGCTCAAACCGCGTAATGAGCTAGTAATATTTGGTCCTGCATGGAGAGTTCTTCAATGTGACGTTGAGATAGACGACTTTTAAGACTCCTAATTTTTATTCAACCATTATCCAAAAAAATATGTATTTATTCAACAAAAGAGAAAAGAAAGATATTTCCAAAAATTGATTTAAGTCTCAAGACCTTCGGCCTAGAAGACTCGTATTCATGGGTACATAATACATTAATGATTAATAGCAATTAGATCACATTTGTCCTCGATAAAAAATTTAGTTGTTGAACTATAATATTCTTCTTCTTCTTTTTTTTTTTTTTTAATGAAATACTAATCGTGGGTTTGGGATCATTTAGGAAGAAGCAGCAGTGCTAATAAGGGGCCTAGCAAACGCGGGCCCAACCGCGATAAACTTGGCGCAACTGCTCCACTTGTGCACGACAAACACCCTAGGACGTGCAATGCTAGGGTACAGAGTTTTCGGCGACGGAAGTGGCAAAAGTGATCCGAGGGCCGACGAATTTAAGTCGATGGTGGTCGAGGCGCTGGCGGTAGCCGGAGTGTTCAACATAGGAGATTTTGTGCCTGCATTAGAGTGGCTAGACTTGCAAGGGGTGGTGGCAAGAATGAAAAAAGTTCACAAGAGGTTTGATGCCTTCTTGACTAGAATTATTGAGGAACACAAGGCTAATGCTGGCAATGGGAAGCACACTGACATGCTTACTACGTTGTTGTCAGTGAAGGAAGATGCCGATGGTCATGAGGGTGGCAAGCTCACTGAAACTGAAATTAAAGCACTTCTTTTGGTAAATTCACTTTATCCTCTATTTCTAATATATTTTTAAAGCGAAACTGGAATTTAAAGTTTGACTACTTGGTCTCAAGTTAAAAGTGAAGGGAATAACATAATATAATATGATATATATATATATAGTATATACTTATTCTTCATTCTTAATTTGATTTTTTTTTTATGTTAATTTTACTCCATTCCTTTTTTTTTTTTTTTTAAATGATTATTCCAAGCTTAATGTTTTAATTTGTTTTAGACAAAAGTAGTCATCTTATTGTCAATTACATGTAGGAAATACTTATAATTTCATGAGCTAGTTGAATTGCTAAAATTTGAACCTTTGCAAATGATGAATGCAGAACATTTTCATTGCTGGTACTGACACGTCATCAAGCACGGTGGAATGGGCCATTGCGGAACTCATACGACACCCCAAAATCTTGGCCCAAGTCCAAGAAGAACTCGACCGTGTCGTGGGTCGAGATAGGCTTGTGAGCGAATTGGACCTGCCCCAACTAACCTACCTCAAGGCCCTGGTGAAGGAGACCTTCCGTCTCCATCCCTCCACCCCGTTATCTCTGCCTCGAATAGCGGCCGAGAACTGCGATATCAATGGCTACCACATACCTAAGGGGACCACCCTTCTTGTCAATGTGTGGGCTATAGCACGTGACCCAGCCGAATGGACTGATCCACTGCTGTTTAGGCCCGAAAGATTTTTACCAGGTGGCGAAAAGGCTGAAGTAGATGTAAGAGGGAATGACTTTGAAGTGATTCCATTTGGGTCGGGACGTCGGATGTGTGTTGGCATGCGCTTGGGCCTGCGCACAGTCCAACTACTAACTGCAAGCTTGGTCCACGCGTTCAATTTTGGCCTGGCAAATGGGTTGGTACCAGAAAAACTCAATATGGATGAAGCATATGGGCTGACGTTACAACGGGCCTCACCGTTAATGGTTCACCCTTGGCCCAGGCTAAGCGAACATGTATATGAAGCAAAAATTTAGACTTTACGCCATGTTTGGTTGCTTGTATTTGTGTTGTATTATATTATATAAAATATGTTGTATCATGTTGTATTATCATAATATAAACGGTGTTTGGTGTCATGACGTATTGTACAAGAATATAAATATTATAAAATTTTGGGGTCAAAATGTAATTTTTCAAAGTTTTTGTGGGGGAAAAAATAAATTTTCAAAAGTTTAAGGCAAAATATAATTTTCAAAATTTTGGGGTTCAAAATATAATTTTCAAAAAATTTGGGGGTCAAAGTACTTTTCAAAAGTTTTGGGGTTAAAAATGTAATTTTGTAAAATTTTTTAGATTAAAATGTAATTTTATAAAAATTAAGGGGCCAAAATGTAATTTTAATAAATATAAATTTGCATTATATCGCTTACTTTTTAAAAAATTATAAGCTTTGACATAACTCTATGTCAGTCCGACTCCGACCCTCAGTCATGGATCCGCTATAAAATAATACAATATAATATTCTAAAAATGAGACGTATTCAATAATAAGACGGTATTAATTTACCATCTGTATTAGTTTATACAATACGATGGTCACACCAAATATTGTATTAATAATACAATAATTTACCATCCGTATTAGTTTATATAATACGATATTGTACTCAATTATACGATATAGACCGTATTAATTTACCATTCGTATTAGTTTATACAATACGATTGTCATACCAAATATTATATTATTGTATTATTATACAATACGATACTCTAATACAGTCAAACAAACATGCTCAAAGACTATCAGTCGATGCAACACTTAGGATTCGCAGTGATCATTTAACAATTCTTTTGAGTTTTAAAGATGTTGGCACCCCTCCCCCCTCCCCTTCTCTTTTTTGGCCCTTATTATTATTATTATTATTATTAGAACAAATTACATTTATTTCCCTTGAATTATAAGCGTTTGAACAAAATGCCCCATAAATTTTAAAAGTAACAAATTTTCTCCCTAAACAATTCACCATTAGCACGCGTCCCCCTTTTCTGTCCACTTAGTTAAATTTTGAACGTTAAGTGCCAAGTAGAAGTCGTTGAGACATTTAATTTTTATTCTATTCTAAAATGACGATTTTATCCATATACATTGGTCAATCTCACCCATTCAGAAGCATCTCAACCCTCACTCTCTTTCCTCTCCCTTTCCCGCGCACGACCACCAAGCTCCGGCAAGTATTATGGCGTCCATTTTTGACACCTCCTGACTCATCAGAAAGCTCTCATCGAGCCGAGTCTGGATTGATTTCTTGTGGCTGCCAACTCCGCCGGATGAAGGCACACTTTCCGGCCGAAGTTCTGAAGTTCCGAGTCTATTTAGCTAGTATGTCTGAGAATTATTCAATCATAAAAGTTTGATCTTGAAAATTTTGGCATGAAAAGACAAGGAGAGCTGAAGTTTTGAATGTGTGGGGTGGATTTAACTAACATGACTTTATAATTTAATACAATCCTCATTAAATCAAGATAATTCTAGTATTTGCAGCAAAAAGAAAAAAAAGATAATTCTGATATTTGTTAGTTTTATATGCAAATGAAAACTCAAAATTTTAGGGCGCGTTTGGAACTCGTTTCAAAACGATTTTGTTTTTTATATAAAAATGAAAATGAAAACGTTTTCATTTTCAGGTAAAAATCATTTCTAAAAATGCGTTTAGTAGTTTTTTTTCAGAAATTATTTTCAATTTAAAAAAACTAAAACTGTGTATGATGGTGTCAAAAAATCAACAAATTAGGACAAAGATCAACAAAAAAAAGAAAAAAAAACACCCAGATCATCAGCAAATACCGACAATGCTCAAAACAATCTTCACCAAATCAACCACCGCTAATTTTCAAACCAACCGCTTTATGGATGGAAAAGAGACTCATTCCAGCCAAATCCTCATCAAACCCAGATAAAGTTAGTAAAAAAAATTCACAAAAAACTAAACTAAAATTCTCAAACAAAAAGAAAGGGAATTCTATCAATACCTCCCAGCCCTATACATGTAGACCCCATGGCCGCCCTTCCCATCGGTACCGCCCTACTGAGCCGCCCTACTCCTGAAATACAACCGCGCCGCCTCCAACCCGCACCGCATCACTGTCGCAGCGTCACTCCCCAGCTCGATCACCGCGGCGTTGTGCCGCATCAGTGAGCCCGACAGCGCGTCCACCGCCCTCGGGTAGGGTCCAGAGGGGCCCCCGTAGAACAGGGAGATATCGGAGAGGCGGACCCTCGGCAGTGGCGACGGCACGGGCTCCCCATTCGGGTGGGCCACCGTGATGGGCCGCGGAGTGAGCCGGGGCGGGAGG